GCAAGATGATTTGGGTCAGGGTAGTTTGAGTGCAGAGGAATTTGTACAGCTGAGTTCCGCCGGCTTCGTTTGGTTTTCAGAAGTTCGTCGGAAACACAAATAACCTGTGTTCAGTCCTCCAAATGTCTCGGTAAGGTTCGGGTTCAGTGTTCTGCGTTGTGGCTGGTTACCCCTCTCCTACACCTCACCAACCAAGCATATCAAATAGTCTCTATTGAGGAAGCCCTCCTTACTACCTTCATCACGTGATAGAGATGTCTTCTTACCGATCTGACAGGATGGAAAGCCAACATCCGGAGTAATAACAACATCGATGAACCACTGGCAGTTTATCCTAGGGTAGCTGTCTAAAAACCAAACCAACCAAGAAGAGGCATACGAAATACATCCACTCACGCACTTTTCTGGTTGTAGCATTGGTCACCGGCTCTATTGAACAACTTGGACGTTTGACCCTGCCTAAAGGGCGTAGGTTTTGATGGACTTGACACCAACGGCTCTTGGGTCACCGTCTTTACACCGCTTTACTGCCTTGCGGGTGGCNAAGCCTCCGGTTGTGCCTTCCCCCATAATATGTACCTGTTTCGGCCTGGCCAACCTGGTAACAGTCCTCCCATAAGCGAATCATGAAATCTTGTTTATAAAGATTATTGCACTGTCATTTGTCTGACACAGTCTCAAATCATACATGTGTTAAATATGTTAAATAAACAAGATATTACATTCACTAAATCTGTGAGTCTTTATTGAATTCCCCAGTATCGGCTGGGGAGCATTTGTGCACTTCGTAGTGGCTTCTATTTCTTTTACCTTCTAATTGTAATTTCCCGCCAACAGGCCTTCCCGGGTAGGCATTTTGTGCGTTAACAGTGAAACGAACCCGTGTTCACTACCAATACTGTCAGACGTGTAAACTGTATTTTCCCTATCAATCAAGCCATATGTTTGGCTTCTCTTCCCTTAAACCAATATCTCTTCAACGTTGCATTCCTCAGCACCGACAAATGAACGGAGCTAACACTCCGGTGGTATATAGATACGTCCATAGATAGGTTACACTATTGGATTTTTTTCTGAAGTAAAAGTGACATTCTAGCTGGCAGTGTTGAAACCTCACAGTAACTGATACTTTGCACATCACTTCTTCCGCACGACATCATCATCACTATTACTACTGGATCTTTTAAAAAAAGGGGGCAATGTTTGGTCGCAAACTGAAGATAATTACGTTGAAATTTGACATATAGTGCTCCCAATCCAACTCCCAAGGTGAACCAATTTCATCCACATTCTTTGTAAGGGAAATTCACCATCGACTTGAAACTAGACGGTGTTTGTGCATGCAACTTTAGAAAGGGGACAGGCTCAGTCTATCAAACTTCGCCCGGGGTCCCATAGAATGCGAAAAGTAGGAAGGCGATGGTGGTCGCATTGGCAAGTAACCCATCACTTTGTCACTGCATTGCACATATCGTGAATCGATCCCATGAGAACACTGGTTTCGGGTAATTTTGGAGGTCATACAAGTGAGAAACGTCGTACTCTCATTAGATCTATTCGTTCACAGATTAAACTATCGATTATTTCTTTTTGTTTCGACTATCATCATTTCGTGGAAATACAATTTTTAGATGTGAATTAATAATGAGAATTGGAATCAGTCATCTCTCTTTTATTTCATTTTGATCATACACAATACCTTAGACTGGTGTGATTACAAATAAAGGGGAAAATAATTTTTTTTCCCCAAAACGATAACATTCTCTATATGGGACAGCCACCGTGAATTTTCTCAGATTCCCTGGGTACGGCCAATCCAGCAATAAACTAGGTTTCAACTTTGACTCACACTTACTTGTGAGTGGTGGTGTGGGTTAATTGTTTTTAATTGACTTCAGCTGACTTCAACTTTACGCACAATCCTCAGTTTATCGATTCAACCATAAACTCAGCCTTGTAGACTCGTTTGCGGATCAGTCCGTACCTGCAAGGAAGTCCTGAATTGGTGGGAGGCTTTCGATTGGAGTTAGCAGTATGTCACCTGTGTCTCCCTTCGTTACTGTCGGCCCAAAATGAACTGACTATCACTGAAGACGACATCTGAACCAACATGAACTGGCAATTTGGTTCAGCCATGACATGAGCTGGTTGGCACAGTGGTAACGCACACACCTTCCATGCGATGGTCCCGGAGTTCAAATCCCGGATGGGACAGTGAATATGCACTACTGAAGAGTTCCAATAAGAGCGAAACTCGAGTCTAGTGCTTCCGAGTGCCCTGCGTGTTCCACTGATGACGTCATCCTGGAGCACTCTCCAAAGTTAATGAGTACCAATGACAATAAATAAGTCGGTCATTATTCCAGATTCGGACCAAATCCGTGGTGGTGGAGAAATAAATGATAAAAGCATCTCTCTGACTGTCATTTACACATCACTAGTCACAGAAGACTTAAACAATGATAGGAATGCATTAAACAGACATGGGGCCGTTGTATGTATCTATGCACCCAGACATGCATCATACATCTTACGCACGAAGAGGCTTCGTTCCATATCCAGGCATGCAGATTGCGCCGAATGACTCGTAACAAAAGTTTGACCTAGGAAATGTTTTTCTTCGTACTAATCGTATTGTAAGGACCCATCTCTCTCTCTTCATATACAACGGTGTGGAAATTGTTTTTCATGGCCGATGATTCCACAAAAAATACAGTGGTATAAATAAACCGGGTGATAAGTTCAAGCACTTCCAAGTGGTGAGAACTAAATACTCATATGAATATACAAACCATAAAAGAAACGATTTTGCTTTGCATAAAACATGAATATCATACATAAACTGAAATAGTAATACACCAATCCGAAGTCGCACTCGCACAGGCGGTTGTCGAATCTCAACAATAAATACGGTGACAGAAGTCCCATGCTTTTTCTCGGTCATGGCACACAGGACTTTATTTCCAGTCAAGAGAACTCAACTGGAAAAGTCTCTCCAGTTAGATCCCCCGGATGGAGTGCATGCACTGACAAGTGCACCGAGAACAGAGTAAAGAGGTAATCCGTATTTACACAGTCACAGTTCAACGATCCAGACAATACTATGACGACCGAGAAGAATGCCAGTTTGTTCAAGAGAGGGTCCAATGTTACAATTACTTCTTTTACCAAGTCATTCACTTACAATCCGTGTGCATCAATATGCCATGAGATGGTTAAGTAAATTGATCACTAGCACTGCATAAGTGATCCCATTTTTTATAATTCCGGTACCTATGCTAAAATAGATAGCCACATTGACTATGTACAAGACCCGCTGGATTCAACTGAAGACCCAGAAATTGAGGAAATTAAGACATCTTGCTTCTTTCTTTCCGCACTCGGTGTGACCAGAGTATTAAAATCAACAGATGTCATTAGATGTGACATTTCTGTTCTCAAATAGGCTACATTTGTCACTTCCTCTCCAGTAACGATACCAACATAGACATACCAGTCGGTGTCTGTAAACAACTTCTTACATTTTGCACCGCGAACGTACAATTCCAGTTCGATGATACCATTTCTAGGCAGAAGGATGGCATAGCAATAGGGGTTCCACTTGGCACACTACTCGGAGATATATTCATGGTTAAGACTGAGAGTAGCACCCTAAAACCTATTATCACACGGATGAACATACACAAGCGCTATGTTGATGGTACCTTCTGTTTGGTATCTCCGAACATAGATTTGGACAGAATCCAGCGAACGTTCAATGAATCTCATCCGAATGTCCAATTCACCATGGAGCCAAAGAATGCTGGCTCACTACCGTTTCTGGATGTTCTTCTACAAAGAAAAATCGACGGGGGAATCGAGAGAAGTGTATATCACAAGCCTACATGGACCGGGCAATAAGCTAATTTTCACAGTTTCGTTCCAATACAGAAACGAAGTTTGGTGCGTTATGTGGTTCGTCGAGCCAGACAAATCTTCTCCGCCAACAAGCTTCCAGATGAACTGCTTCTGTTTGGCAACACGTTTAGGTTAAAAGGTTATCCAGAACGCTTCACCAAAAGGCACACTACGACTGATTGTCAACCGTAATACGCTACGGTCCCTAAGAAAAGGGCTTATACAACAATTGATTTCAAGGGGGATATGCTAGCCGAAGCGCTAACTCGTCAATTATCTCAAACCACTGAAAGAACTTACTTACGAAGCCTATGCTGCAGTTACAATTCAGAGACAAGTTAACTAGTCAGTCTACCTCACTTTATTTGTACTCTTATTCGTGCTCCTGTGGAGCGGAATACGTAGGAAGGACCGCTAGGCGGTTATCAGAGAGCACTCAAGAACACTATCCAGCTTGTTTATCGACAGGGATCAATAAAAATGTGACTAGTACCATCCTAGCCCACGCACTCGACACGGGTCAAGAACTGACACGATAGGGAGCATTCAAAGTCATCTACCGGGTAGCATATGATTGATCAAAAGAGTATGACGCGGAATTCTGCGCACAGCCGAATCAACCGCGATCAGGTTAAACCAACTAATACTGTGTTCGCAAAAACAGTTTGTCAGGACGCTACTGCGGCGCTGGTCCAAGGCCAGTAAGATCGTGGAACAGACACACCAGTTTAACTCATCCCCGACTGATCCATCCGGACACAATCCCCAATCTCAATCATCACAATAACTGTCTGAGTACTTACACTACGGATTACATGCCATGTTGTGTGTACATGTTCGATTGTGTGTACTGTATTGACCTGATGAGAAGTACGAAACTCAAAGATCTGTCTTTGCCACTTTCAGATTTCTCTGGCAGAACAATGGGTATATATATTTTGTGATCTAAAACTGTTCTAATTGCAGGCCAAATTAACGGCTAACATTATTCCTGGTATCTCGTGTACAACCCCTCCCTAATTTGAAAAGCTTTTACGTCTGCCTTTTCTATTCTAATCTCTTTAACGGGATGTCGTGACATCTCCAGGAGCTTGGTTAACGATTTACATTCTATACTCCGAATTGTGATCAATTACTATATTCTCTGATCAGAAGTGATTGTACAACAAGGGTTAGTCATATTCCCCGTTTCTCCATTACACCTCCGTCCCGAGGCAATAGATCCCGAAACAGGTTGGTCCAGCACAAAAACTGGTGGACTGGCACAATTCAAGTATGCCTCACATTCCCAGTTAGCCAATACTAATGTTTTTACATCCATAATAAATATATTTACAATGCTATAACTCTCTCAAAATGGGTGACTGTGTCCGCTGAGATGAACTTCGTTTACTCGAAGTTCATGTATTACAGATGAATGATGCTCGCTGACTGTACAGAAATTTTAAAGGGCTTACTGAGTTCAAAACCCGGCAGGCCTCGGCGACATTGGAGTTAATGTTGTCAAGTGAAGAGCCATTAATAAAGCATTATGTTCTCACTACGACGTTATGATCAAACCGCATTGAGGTTTCAATGCATTTACTAGCCTACGGTTGGAACAAACTCTCCAGATACCACTGACAAGGCATATACTGTGCAATATTGGTAATTTGGATTGAGATACTCATGGGGCTCCCCCTGTGAAAGAAAGTAATTAAGCCTGCAACAATTTACTGACGGTCCTAAAAATCGATTAACTTCCGTAACTGATTCGGAACTTTTCCCCATCTTAACTCGAAAATCTCATCCATTTTTAGTTGTAAAAATATAAACGTATTTGAAAGCTCTCCCCTGGTAAGAGTTTGAGTGATTTATGTTAGTAAGTACTAGCGATTGTTGGAAGATTATTGTGTCAAGGTGGTGTGAGAGACTAGACTGATGCATCACGATACGCTGGCAAAGAAACGAGTAAGTTATTATAGCTCTTGAACTCAACCTCCGGATATTGATGCCCTGTTTGTTATAGGCGGTTTGTGTTACTACTTTAATTAGAGCAGTTTAGTTCGTGCACAATCCAGGTAGCCAATCCAGGTCCACGAGTGTACTACTTTTGATCTCAATTTTAAAATCGAATAAACGTGTCAATATGTTCATTCATTTATTACTTATTTACTAATATTATTCAATTTTATATTCATTGTCCATTGATGAATATATCTGACAATGACTGAATTTCGTTCAAGTATCTTCTTGGGCTCTGCCGCACGTGAATACGAGCTCCATATACTTTTCCTCTGCTGGGGAATAACTTTTTCCAGCTTGATACTCGGATTATGATAGGCACAGAACACAAGATGACAGCATTTGGTTTAGAATAACTCGACGTATCTAGCATGGAAAGTTACACTTTACAGTGCGACTCGACTCATATTTATCTATTTCCCACTTTTATTGACCGGTTCAACGAATCTCGTTGTCTAATTTAGTTACATTCCGCATGAACAGGTAAATAAATACACACGGGAGAGAGCTAGTGTGCTAGCGGTCACCGTTCTTCATCAACAAGCCCAAATCTCGGCGGTCTCCGTCTCGCGGACCAATAATTAATTAAGCAGTCTGGTAGAATCAATCGATCCGAACTCACCCATCGTGACTCCAGGGTCCGAATTTCAGTGTACACTTTTGTCGATCAAATGGAAAGTATTTTATTTCCACGGAACATGTGCTTTTGAAAATGGCCATTGGACTCCAGAAAACTGTTCCGTCATGATAAATTCGCACATCACATTCTCGACGCTCGCTCAATCGTTCATCCGCACTTGGAAAGTTCGGGGTGAGCGGTGGTAGGGAAAAAGTTTTTGTTACGATTAATTTCTCCTCTTTGTTTGTTAATGCTCAATGGCAGCACATTATAGAAACTTTAGTCAAAATAAATGTTATCAAATGCCATACATAACCAGTGAATTTGTATCAGAATGTAGTGACACAATTCACTAACTGGCGCGATACTGTATTCCATTTCATTTTAGGTGAGGCTCGGTAAAAATGTCCCGGAAACAATGTACATCAATCTGTCACACTCGTACAGTCTATCGAATGGAAATTTTCACCGGAAAATCTGGGAAATGTGATAACTAAAATGTGAGTTTCGAAATGCTTCTTTTCCAACCTGTTGAGGTCACGTGGACCGGAAGCAGTGGAACCGTAAACCCCTTATAGGGAGCGATGAGACCGCTATCAAGTAAGTTATATTCGACATGTGAACACACATTCAGAGGCGTGTGCCGGTAGAGGAACCTTCAATGCAGCCAGGTTGTTATTGCGTATTCCCAGGCCCACCAATAATAAGAACATCTAATAAAGACAGTTTAACTACGCTGGCCTCATCTTTGGCTAGATATTCCTTCAGTTGCGTCTGTAACACAACTTACATTGACCAAACGGCGAGGCAACTGTTTCAGCGGACTAAAGAGCACTGTCCACGCTGGCTTCAACACGGTAGAAAAAGTGTTACAGGAAGCTCTATTCTCGCTCACCTAACAGACTCGGGTCACCAAGTGAAACCTGAATCAGACTTCAAAGTCATCTGTCGAGTACCACCTCAGCCATCCAAGTCGCTGCATCTCCCTAGCCACTGCGGAAGTGATCGACATTCGTTTGTTCAAACCCAATCTATGTGCACAAAAGAGATTGGCCCATGCCATTCAACTGCCGTGACCGAAGATCGATCGCACGGATGACGCATCACAGATTGGTTGCAGTTTTGCGGTAATCTAACGGTGCGAAACACGTCGGACCTCCCCCACTTCACTCCCATTCCTCTCCCTTTCAATCAATCACTGTGACTTTTGAATGACTGAGTGACTATCCCCGTTCAATATGCCATTTTCTTTAGCTGATCTGTACGGGCTAGAAGATGTATCAGTGAAAACAATTGTTCGCCACTGAATGTGTGTTCTCATGTCAAGATAGGGATATTCTGGAATTGAAGCCATATTCCGCAATTTCATATACTTTTCATTATGCCGTCTAAGACAAGCGTTCTTTGGGAGCAGTTGAAGCTTATCGCGATTGCAGTTTTGTTTCACCATTCCATAAATTCATTTTGCAAGTTCCTCTACTTAGCTATATGTCGAAATTGCCTCAAGGGTTTTTGAAGTCAAATTTCGAAAACTGTGTGAAACTCATTGCGTTATGCCATCGGGAAAAACATCTATTTGAAGACTAACACAATCAGCTAGTTCATGGGTGTACATTCATTGAGCTTCCCTGTTAACCACCATGGATAAGATATAAATTGTAATTGGTATTGAAATTAGTAACTTTTTACCGGTACGAAATTTTTAATGTATTATTTTTTCAGCATGCATCGCCTTCACTACTCTTTCAGATTATCCTGTACACGTAACTAGGTAGTAGGTCATTAATCCTTTTCGAGTTTTCGTTTTAACTTCACCCCACCCCCCACCCCTGGATTCCTGTGAATCATTTCGACCGGATTTTTAGAAAATTGGATACTCCGGTCCGTATAGTATGGATAATTTGCGCTCATTGGAACCGGTCTGAATTGCGCACTTTGTGTTCCTACGGGCACTTGAATTGCAACTTTTGAGGGAACCGTGAGGGCAAGAAAAATTTCAGATGATACGGTAAAAATTAAAAACAAAAACCAAATAATTTTCAGTAATATCTGACAAGAAAAATGCAGTCAAAATAAGTCTGTGAGCAACTCGTGAGCGAACTCTGACCAATCTGATATTTGCCGGTCGGAAATGGTCTAGTCGAATTGACTTCCCGACGACTAGATGGTCCTATGCACACCCTCAAAAGACCACCAATTTTCACGAAATCAGTTGTCAATTGCTCGCGGACATCAAACAAAACGTCAGATCAAGATCAGTCTCGAAATTTGCCAGGGGACACAGTTAAATGCGTAAATGCAAAATACTCAAAGTTTTCAATGAATCGTAATATCGATAGTGTTTAAAATTTGAAATAAACTAACGGTCGATTGAACAATGCTCTCACTGGACGTTAGCTCGTTGTTCATTAATGATCCCATCAACGGAACGTTTGAATACCTGTGCAGTTATGTATAAACAAATAATATAGAGCTCGACCTTCCTTTGGATGACCTTAAACAACTACTTTATTTCTGCACGCCTAATGTTCAATTCAAGTTTAACGATGAGATGTATCGACAAAAGGATTGCGTGACCATGGGGTCTCCGCTGGGACCACTTTTCGCAGATTTATTCATGGCGAAACTTGAAAACACTCAATTACAGTCATCCATCGAAGTCGGTGTACTATACACACGGTAATTGGATGACATTTATTGTGTGATCAGTGCAACATCGAATACAACGGAACTATTAACCAGGTTCAACACTGGGCATCCCAGCATAACATTTACTTTAGAAACGGAGTGTAAAAACAAATTGCCGTTTCTAAATATCTGCATCACCCGTCGGTCAGATGGTTCAGTACAGCGTTTTTTGTATAGAAAGGCAACTTGGAGAAGCAAATTAACGGTTAGTAGACGTAAGTCTAATAAATTAAATGAAGTATAATTCAGTTTTGTTGAGTGCAAATAAGAAGAAACGAGTGTGAAGGACGATACATCACAATTTTTCTCATGAATGTCTGTTAATGAAATGTAACATAGCGAATTCAAGAGAAAATTGTTACTCACTAGTTGTACAATGCGATATCCGGAAGCCAAATGTAATCACTGGGTATTGTAACAAAACGAACACCATCGTAATCCGCTGGATCCCAGAGGAAATTGTAGTCTTTCCATTTCTGAATGAGGGATGAAAAGGGAATAGTTGTCTAACTGAACACTATCCGAAACTGTTAATGTAGAAATTTCCCTCTATTGTTTGCAAACCAACTACACGAAGAAATGGACGAATAGATCTACTGAGGGGCCTATCAAGTAGTATAAATCTGAGTGAGTAAATATTTCCTTATACTTTGCATTTTTGTCTTCAAAAATATGTTCACTGTTTTTATGACCTACAACTGACTGAAACTTTTATCATACATGCCTGAGGCCAGATTGATCGATCGATTGGCTGACCGCTTCAGTGGCGGCTTGGTGGCATTCAGATGCAGTGTGACGTTTGCGCGTGTGTTGGCCTGCCTGCCTGCGTTCCTACCTGTCGTCTTTTCTGCTTGGTCCCCGGTCTACGAACCAGCTACATATTGGCCGTTTATAGTAAACGTTTAGCTTAATTCATTGTGTGCTCATCTACCTGCTTAAACTGGGACTGTATCTTCCTACTGAATAATTTTCTACTGCGCCCATTTTTGTGGCACGATTAACAGATTCAGGAAACTAAATCTTCACGAGGGCTCTTGCTTCATTCACGTTAATCGGTAACCCAAAGCTCCGCAGATTTGGACTGACGATCCAAATGAGACGTCGTACTGAGCCGGGAACGCAGTGAAATCGCCCATGAACAAACCTCATTAATGGCGGCAGGGATCGAACCTCGATTCATAGAACTCGCAACAAGCCAGTGACATAACAACGCTCGTTTATAGATAAGAATAATCAGCGTTCAAATTATATGAGTTATTACACGACCGTCAAAATCTTTGCATTTGATTAACTACAGTGTCAAATCAATCCTCTTCAGTTCAACTCATCTTAACTTCTCAGTACTCTCTGAAACCGATAAGTAAAATATATTAACCCAATCCCTTCTGACGATGCACCTTACATAGTTAGTTTGAGGTTGACTGTTGTCAAGTACAATCCATTTGTTACAAGTCAATGAATCACAAACGAATAAGTTCCAATCACTTTCAGTTAGGAACGCGGATAAACAAGTCAAACTGGTGTTCCTAGGAAGAACCAAGTGATTGGGGCTATTTAGGCCTGTCAAATTGTGATTAGAACTCTTTAATAGAAAATATCATTAAACCGCACATGAAAAACTTGCGAATTCGTTTATATTGTACTAGTTGACTTACATAAAGAGATCGAACACTGGTTGTTAGCACTTGATCCATCTCATCCAAATCCAGTATCTGTAATAGCTCCAGACCAAACTCTACCGTGATCTGATAGACGCTGTAATTCGGAGTCAACCAGACCAGTGGTGTAAGGTGATCAACCACCGGTCGAGCTCTGCGGTCATAGTCCCGTAATAATTCCTTGGTCAGACGTTTTTCGATCCAATCCGACTCACGGATGCCCAAGTCCGGATGCGGATCGGCCCATTTTGTTGAAGGATGCGGCTCATCGGGTTGCTCTAGCACGGGTGACATTGCTCTGAGCCTTTGTCTAAATCGTTCCCCATCGGGATCTAGTGCCAGTGACCAGTAGGACTGTTTTATGTGTGCAGTACCGGTTGAGAAATTTAGATTGGTATAAGCGCTTTCGGAGCGGATGGTAGTGCACAGTACACAAACAGTTGAAAGTAGCATTGCCCAATCTACCGAGATCATGCTTATCTAAAGTTGAAGAAAAAAAGAATTTCACCAATGTTTTAAGTATGACTAGTTATAAAATCAATACAGTGACTAATGATCTGTACAGTATATTCGTTTATTGTGGCAATAATGTATATCCAGCTAATTAATAATATTTCGCAAATAAATGGATCCCAAATACGTAGTTTGTGTATGAATAAAAGATACTCATATTGTCATGCTCATGTCCTCCCACATTTTATGGGACTTTATAACCCCAAACCATTTACCAATATTCCAAGGTGTGATTGCTGCTAACTATCAAATTACGTATGTTGTGCGAATTCACAGTGTTGCCCTGGTAACATCCACATTTTGAATTACGCTTTCGAACAGTACATGTCATCCGTTTTTCTTACTATTTGGGAAGCAATCAGTGAGAACTTTTATATTTTGATTCAAATACGTGGCAGGAATAAGAGTGCTGACGGGTCATTGAATGCTTCACATTACTCATATGAACGAACATGAGAAATAGGAAGACATCGTTTGATATATTTTCACTGACAAATAATCTTATAATGTTAAAAACTGACCACAAGAGGTGATCCAGTCAACCTCAAAAAATCACTCCGGTTTGTCAAGGCCATCCGTTTTCAGTCGACCTTCAAGCGGATAGATGCCCCTATTGTACAAACCTCGAACCCTACCGTAGCGGTGTCTATTCTCCGTAATTTATTTACACTTAAATGTAAATTTAAGCTAGAAAAAAAGGAGCTGTACGTTATAATTAGACGACTGGTTTTTAAATAAAATCTAATTTGGCTACGAACCAGAATCTTCAAGCTTGGTGGTGGTGCAATGGTATAGTCGCTGTCACCGGCGTGCTTTGGACCCTATGGTCCGAGTTTCGAACCTCCTCACCCCTACCTGACTTTGGTGGTAGGCAGCTGTGCTGTCCTCCGGTTCAATATCGCAACTAACCTATCGGGGCGTTATGTGGTTCACCACTCCAATTCCACGGGACTTAGATAACCGGTTTCCAACAATGAACAGCAGGTCCTCGTGACTGCAGGATTTACCCCATCTGCTGTTCATCACACCAAAGTTGTAATAAAAAAACAGTTTGAACCAGAGTCCTCCAGGCAATACTGTTTGAAACAACGACTCCTGAAATGTCTCTCCTCCAGTATCAGGAGGCATTCATTGATTTATACACTTAACTTTAGTGGTAAAAATTGTTTAAAGTAACATGAAAAACCGGCGATCATAGAAAAATGCATTTGTAGAATTTATGCGAACGGGATGATGACCCAACATTTGCTGATGGGGTCAAATTGGGCAAGATGAACACATTGTTACCATTCATGATTTTTGGATTTGTTGTAAACAATGTCCGCTAAAGTGCTGTTTGAAGGACCCGAAATAGCTTCGATTTGGTTGGTACACTTTCCTTCAGTGAGCCCAGGGTTGAGTGCGAATAGTAGTGCAAAATGAATAGACACCTTATATACTGGGAAAATTAACCTTAGCACGAGGTGGGAATATATTACACAGCTTTTTGATTGTTCACCGGAAGATAGCGTTTAAAGAATGGTCATTGCAAATCAATACCACCTGTTCCAGAACATTTCTCACAAGTTACATGGGAATTGAAACTTAGTTCAACGGGCTCATTGGATTCTGCTTCGAAATCCTGATTGGATTGAAAGTAACAGATCGTCAACTGTAACTCAACTTTTATCGACTGACTATCGGATGCAGATGATATCTGAGCAGACTCGCAATGGCAACTCCATCTAACCCTAATGTGTACAAAAAATATACCGTCCGTGTGATACGTATGGATTTTTAATCCCAAAAATGTATTTAGGTATGTCGTACAGAAGATCTTTAGGGGGAGCAAAACTCAATTTTATTACGTACTGAGTGAGTAATTGCATGGATGAACTGATCATTGGGCGCACAGATGCAGTCTCAACGACGGTTGGTCTAAATCATTGTCAGTCACCACACACAAATAGGGCAGTGGTGGCGTAGTGGTTCAGTCGCTGTCACAGGTGTACTTTGGATCCTTATGGTCCGAGGTTCGAGACCCGCCACTGCCACTCAACCTTGGTGGTAGGCAGCTGTGCTGTTGTCCACGCCTAACCCATCGGGGCCTTGTGTAGTTCACCACTGCAAGCTCCCAAGCTTAGGTTACCGGTTTCCATCACTGAACATCAGGTCCTCGTGAATATAGGACTTTACCCGTCTGCTGTTCATCACACAAAAATATGTAATAAAAAAATAACTGTGATTCAAATAAAAATGGTCACGTTTTATTTACCAAGAATCCAAACAGGGTCTTATTAGGTTTCCCGTCGATTTATCTCTCTAAAGCTTATTTTGCAAACGTTTTAAAACTTTCACCAATTTTGATACCAGAATTCTGCGTTTGCCCTGCAGGTCCTTTTATTGATCATTATCTGATCTAGTTCTATGGGAACTACCAAAACCATTTACAAAAACCACAGACCTGTCCGAGTTCGATTCCCCACATACGCCTGATTTCGGTGCAGAGCAAGCTATCAAATGACAGCAAAGCTTTATACTTTTCCTTATTGTGTTTTAAGCTTAAATCAGTGGTTTATGAATCTAATTTATCAAAACGTTTTGATATTCTGGAAAAAACAAACCTTTTTGTGCTACCCGCGTTTTCCGCTTACTTTGTGCTAAAACTTCTCACTTCAGCGTTATGCACTGCGAAGTTAAAAGATGAAAAATATAAATACATGTATCCAGTTCTCACTCTAAGACTATGGTAAATAAAAGGAAAAGAAGAAGCACTTTTTCCAAAGGTTTTTAACTCTGTTCCGTGATGGTTCGTTTAGGGATTACTGTAGAAACAGGGCTGAACAGTTTGTTTTTATCTTGATCTTCCTATCAGTATATGATCCAATGAACTGTCCGATCGTTAAATAGAGCCAGTTGATCGATTACTGTGAAACATAAGAACTCATGAAATAATAGTGTTCGGGATTTCGGGTATATTGTTTGTAAGTTTAGATAAACTATATAACTTGAGTAATGCACTGGATTGATATTTGTTGTTAGAAGTGACACACAATACGGGAAACCCACTTCCAGGGAAATGGAATGCAGGTTCAATAATCCACTGTAATACAGTTCATAATGTTGCTGGATTTCATTCCGAACCGCTACTCGCAAGGCACCGTCAGACCAAAGGGAGTTGCACATTTGAAGTGGTCAACTGATCAATCACAGTCAGTCGGTCAGTCCAGATGCAAGGTTATTTGTCGGTATTGCACGTAGCAATGCCTCATACTTGGACACAAAATACACAGTGCGTAACAGAGCCAATCGAAATTGCTCAAAGGAGAATTCCAGGGAGGGGTAGAGGGAGAGTGCTACAAACAATTTGGCCTAAAGACTGACGTGGAGTCATTACTGATCGATGACACTGGAAAAGGAAAGGTCACGAGTGTAAACACGATAAAAATTTCCAGGTACCGGCATATCACCAACATTTACCACGATTAATGCAGTAACCGAAGTAATGTTGCGGGTGCTGACACTTTTGGAGGCTTAGGTAATATTATATCAACTGATATATATATATATATCACGTTGTCGATGCTCATAAACACAGTGTCAGATGAAGGTTAGGAATAAAGACATGAGTAGCATCAGTTATGATGTGTCAAATGTATCTAGGTCAAGTGGTTTGCTTACGGCGAACGTAGTACCATGTTTCAGAAACAATGATCCGGACGTGGTCTAAACATTTAAGACTATTCAGCACTGGAGTCAAAGGCAGAGAGACGGCGAATAAGTCGGTGCAGTGAATCTCTCCAACACGGGAGATCTGTACACTGAATCTCTAAAAAGATACTTAGTTCACGTTGGCCAGCAAGATGCAAACTTACTCCGAAGTTTTTTCTAAGAAAAACCACTTGCCAATATCGAGTTTCGCAGTCTTACTGCTCCAAAAGAATTGAATCTGTGCTCATAAGACCCGGTGGATGGAGTACTGCGAATTATCATTCCAAAACCACATATATGATGAGTATGGGAAATCTTATGTCTCTCGAAATATTTAGAGATAATTTCTTTTCAGTTTCACTTTGTGGAAGAAAGACGTTTTTGCGGAGAAAATGGAAAAAAAGAGTTCGTTTATATATTTTCAATCTCCTTGAGAAAGGGAGCGTCAGAACAGCTGCCTGGATTATTTGGGGCGGGGCTACGCGTGGAGAGCGCGGGGAAATTGAATGTGTGTGTGTATGGGTGAGTACGTTTTTCTGTAAGCACAAACAAGTTGGAGATTCGGAAAACAACTGGACCCTCGTGCCCTTTTACCAAATCTTTCCATCTTGGTCGATGTGTGTGTTTACTCTGGTTGTGTTTCATTCAGTGTTTTCGTGTAGAACCAAGTTTTTAGATTTGACTTATGATTCCCTAGCGTGAGTTGTTGTACTGGGTGGAGAGAAAGAGAGAGAGAGAGCGAGAGCGAAGGATATGTATGAGGGTGTTTGTGCGTCGAATCGGTCGTTCGCGCTGCTCTGTGTACTACTGTGCCTATGGTCGACATAAGATGTGCTCCCTCGGGCATGTCTCACGCAACCTCGCACGGACAGTCCACAAGAAGTGAATAAGCCGTACACCAATGAAGGTGGACAGTTTTGGCAAATAATTGACCCTATACCAG